TAAAGCCCTAACATAGTGAAACTATAATTACTAGCTAATGTACTCGACAATGCGAGGTCATTTTGTTGTCATGCCCAATTAATTACATTATTTGTTGACTTAATTTATGTCCAAATCTCGATATTATCATATACCTCATACCGTGTGAGTTAACGCCTTGAAGTTTCACACATGGCGTAAATTATGAAAATAAAAAGGTCAATTCGAACATTCATCACCACATGTCCAAAAAACCATAGTATTGTGTCCAATAAAAAAATAAACATCAACAAAATCTGCTAAATGAAAAATAGTCAAAGTTGAATAAGAAGTGCAACAAATCACCCAAGTCAGGTCTAAATTTCTGAAAACGAAAACAAAATGCAAAAACAACAAAATAAGAAGCATTTTACATAACAGGTTCTGGGCAATCGATATTAATGGTACCAAATGGTATTCAGAATTACCAAATAATTCATTACAAAAGAGAGAAATAGGAGGCACTGACCAATCCAAGAAGAATAAGTTTCCGTAGGCTGGAAAATATTCGTATTCACATTTATTTAAACTTGCATGCATGGAAAAGTAATTTTATAGAATAACTAAAAAGGGAAAAATTGAACCCAGTAAAACAAGTGAGAAAAGAAAGAACAAAAGTGGCAAGAGAAGAAGATACGCAACTTGTTAATCAAAATAATTACGTTAAGCGTAAAAACAAATTGAAGCAACGGTACCAAATCTAAACTTTAGAGAGAAAACCTTGTTTTTTATTTAAGTCAAATTAAATAATATTTTCCAAACATAAAAAATTTATATGACCAGTTTTTTGTTATTCACATTTAACGGCATATAATTCACACGTTGAAATAAAGAATATAACAAATCTGGATTTGTAGGCAAGCTAAAATATTGTATATTATTTCAATTAATATTTCATATTTTAAATAACAATAAAAAATTTATGTTTTAAAGATTGGACATTTTAATTTGGGCTGAGAAACTAACATGCATTAATCGAAGTATAAAAAATGAAGAGAAACATTAAGTATGAGGTCAATGTGAAAGTTACGTAAATTAAAGGTAGTCTGAGGATTTGATAAAATTTGGTTCATCAATTAATGTTAACTTGATTTTAATCTATTACATTTTCAAAACAATATCGTCCATCCTATTTGATCATTTCATTCCATGAACGCTATGAGTATTCACTTAATTTGGAAAAAAAATGGGAATATTTTGATTAATCCTTCTTAACATAGAGACATAAAACCTTGTTTATTTTTCCATCTCTAGAACAATTCCAGTTAGTGATAAGAATAGGTAAAAGAAGAAGATCTAATTTGCAAAATCATTTATGACATAAATTCAAAGTGTATTTTACTTGCACTATTCTTGGAATCGAAAACATCGAAAATGTTTTCAAATAATAGAACCGAATTCAAATTTTTCTGATTAGAACTTGAAAGATATATATTCTCCAAAATAATAATAATAATAATAATAATAATAATAATAATAATAATGATAATAATAATAATCGATAGTAATAGTAGTAGTATAGTAGTATAGTAGTAATAATAATAATAATAATTATTATTATTATTATTACTATTATTATGATTATTATTATTATTATTATTATTATTATTATTATTATTATTATTATAATACTAGTAATCCAATCCTACCAGTGTGTTTGCCCTGAAGTTAAAAGTCCAAAGCAATCAACAACAATTATTAATTTCATAAAGATCAATCATCAAAAAACGATTATTTCGCATTTGTAATGAATGTATGCGTCAAAATTGCACAAATTAAAACAAGATTGAAGATTCATACATCTTTGAAAATGTTTATTGAAAGTACACATTTATTTGAGTTGGACCAAGCTCGAATCTAGTGCAGATAACATAATCACAAAACATAGAAATCTATTTAAATATGATCACAGCTTCTCTTCATCAATCTCCATGAACTCATCCTTTGGATCCAGCAGAATCAAGCTGCTCATCATTGGCAAAAAGTCCATGTTATCAGCTCCTTCAATCAGATTTTTCCCAAAAGCCCTAGTCTCATTGCTACGGAAATTGTGCAAATACAACTCAATAGTTCCCTCATCAACATTACTTTTCACGTAAACAATTTCATCCTCAACGGTAATCATCGTAGGAACATGAACGATCCCGTTAAGGACAACATTGAAGAGTGTACTCCAAGAGCTTTCATTTCCATATTCATCCATAATAAAGAATGAACAACGTTGTTGATTTGTAGCATACAGGTTTTGGGCAGTCAGAAATGAAAGTTTGCCATTGTAAACGGTGACCTCATTAATCATGGACACTTGAAAGTTGTATTGGTCAGGCAACTTTATTTCTCCAAAAACTTCATTCAAAAAATCAAATGAGAGAATGACTGGGGCGTCCATTGTGTCATCTTTGCGGAACGCCCGCCAATGGACACAATTGTTGAGAAAAGCCCTAGAAAATGAGTCACATAGATACCATAATGCGACGTTTGGTGCTTTAATTTCTCTCCATGTGTTAGTTTTCAGTGAGAAAACTTCAACATGGGTGACATTTTGGGAAGCAACACTAGTACTTGCATCAAGGAAATATGAACTAATAACAACTTGACCAGGATTATGAGCAGCAATCATATTTCTTGCATGAAAGAAATCATCTTCCTCCTCCTCATCATCAGGCTCCTCCACATACACAATTCGAACAATCTTATGTTCGTTTGTTTCGAAAATATAACCGAATCCAAGAACTAACTGAGTGAAGTCATCAAACGTAAAATTCTCTACACCAATGCTTGATGAAGTTATTTTCAAAGATTTTCTAATGAACGGGTTCCATAAATGGATTACAACCCCATACCTATCTGAATCAGTAAGACAAACCAAACCAGCACAAGACGAAACTATCTGGCAACAATTACTATTAATTTCACATGGGATTTTTTTCATGCAAGAAAGATCTAAAGGGTTCATATAAGAGAGTGATTTGAAAGGTTTTAGAGGGTTACCACCGATAATGTTTGGACCACATAGAAGGAATTTGTTGCCTCCATTACGTGATGCTTGAAAATGGTGGTTGATAAACTCCCGAGATGCAATGAAGGAATACCAAAATTTCGAGACGCACATTAAACACACCAAAGCCTCGACTGGGAGGAACATCAGAATATTCATGATGATCCCCCATGGAAGATCTTGTAAGTGCCAGAAGGACTCCATTGTTAGCTGGTTTTGTTTCCTTTTCTCTCTTTTGGGGAATTTTATTTTTTTTTTCAAAATTTAATTTTGTATGAAGGCTGGTATGAATGCTTACAATTGCTGGAGCAATGTTTCATTATATACGGCACAATTCGGTTGATATTATATCATTGCGTAGTTGATTGTTTAGATAGCATATTCTCTGTATAACCTTGTTCTAGAGATCAAAATTTAGTACTCCTCATATACCAAAATTATTGGTCAGTTTGAGATTTCACTTTTAGTATAATTTGAACTAAAAATAAAAACTCAAACCAGACAATAATTATAGGACGGAGGGAGTAACTTTTACCTTCTATAATTTCCAATAGAGAGAAATAAAATAAAAGGCTGATAATTTTGACCTTCATCTACTTTAACATATTTTGGTGATGACAACAATTTCAATCATGTCCAATTACCAACATTTCTTTTCCTACCTTTTCTTTTTCTTTTGGTAATTTAGTTTTTTTTTGTAATATTGGACATCTTTTACTTTATATTGCTGCCGTTCTGGATGCACATTTTGCTAACGTTTGATCCATATATATTTTAGAATGAATTGCCATTACATGGAGAAAATAGTTTCTCACGAACACAAAATCATTTAATTTGTGTGTTATTGTTTGCCGTATCCATGTTTCTCCACAGTCTATGTATGTCCAGAATTTCAGAATAAATGTAATCAACCAGAATACGTTCAACTCTTCATATGTCATAAATTAAAGAAATGAATGATCATACTATGATATGATCTTGTACGAATTGGATCCATTATATTACTTTGATCCTGGCTCCATTGCACTTTTCACTTAATCTTAAAGTTGGGTAAATTTATTCGATCTTCAACCTTTTGAGCTTTGGTGATAAATCAAATCCATGTAAACTTGAAAGGACGATCGGTGTTACTTTATAATCCTATTCATAATCTATAATTCAGTTCATAATCTCCTGCATGCAACAACTGTATTGTAAAAGATAAATTGATGTGGAAGTCGTGACTAATGTTTCCATGCATTTAAGATACTACTATCATTCCAAATTCTATTTTAATTGGTCTGTATATGTTACAAAACAAAATCTAAATTTAAATTCATTGGCAAAACAAAAAGAGTTTAGTGTATTTTAATTTACGTTCAACATATCCTTTCGAATTTCGAGTGCATCACTGAGTTTTCAAAATCTTGTCCTCTGTTGCACCACCCCAGTCCCCATAAACCCCAAACATTATTGTCGCATTAAGTACATCCTTTGTTTCGTGTAATTGATTTTCGAAGACATGTAGTTATCATCATTTTTGTTCTTAGTCATTTTTTTAGTGATACTAGTTACAATATTTTCAAAACTTTAATTACTTAATTGATAATTCATCGATAAATTGACTAATTAATAATTACTAATTTATCAATAAACTAATAAATTTTTGAAATCCCAACAGTATTAATATATAGATGTTTTACTATAGGTATTCTAGAGAGGGTTTCACATTTTTCCCTTTAAACAATTTTCCATACGAGTATATAATTACAGTATTACAATTTTTAGCTATAAGAGTAAAACAAAAATAAATAATAATAAAAGCATTAAAAACAAGGAAAAATTCTTATTAAGGGCGCTCAAACTTTTATAATTCTTAAGAAGGGCGTAAAACTTTTAGAATTCTTTTTAAGGACATCACAATTTTTTTATTGATGCAGAAATTATTTGACATGATAATTCTATCCTCCTACTGTAATTATTGAACATTTTACGCCCTTTTCAGAAATTATTAAAATTGCAACACCTAAATAAGAATTTTCTCTGAAAACAAAAGCCCACTCGGCGGCACAGCGGACGTTCAGAAACATGAACAAATGAAATCGCGGTGGTTGTGGCGGCGGCGGTGGCGGGACCAGTTTCATTCTGCCACACTCAAATGGTTGCGTCTTGGTTTCAGACCTTAATTTCTCCATTGCGACTTAAGATTTCCCCTCAACGACTCCGCAAATATGGTTAGCTTTCTAATTTCACTTCAATCGTTTCTTACACTATAGGTTGATTATATTATTGCCCTTTGGATTTGTTATCTGATATTTTGGGTCGTGATTCTGATAAACCCACATTGGAAATCCTACCTTGACCAGCGCCATCTGATTTCAACTTTTGTTATCGAATTGGAGTGGCAGAAGTAAATTCTGGCTTTATGTTTAGAAAGAATTCTATTTGACTGCTTTAGGCTTGGAAATTTTGGTTGTTTTGAATGAAAAATCCAAGAATGATCTACTGTTTGTTGGAAAACTGGGAATAAATGAACGATTGAGAAGTAATTGTGAATCTTTATCCTGTCTAGGCAAAAATATTTGAGTGGGAATGGAAATGGAAAACAAGAACTTCATTCTGAATTAGCTTAGGTGAAATCTCATTTGCTGATTTTGATTAGTTTATTCCATATATACCATTAAACTACAGTACTTATTCCGAAGACTTATGCTCCGAGTTCTATTTATCCTTCCTTGCAGGTTTTGTATTGAATGACTTCCTTAACGGAACTGAAACTAGGGAAAAAGCGGTGAAAGAATTGTCCCAAGAGATGGTATCTTGGAGAGATCTTGATGAAGTTGAGAAGATTATAGGTTATAGTTTTAGCAACAAGAGTTTACTTCATCAGGCATTTACCCATCCGTCATATAACAGGGGTTGTACATCGTATGAGCGGCTTGAATATGTTGGTGATTCGGTGCTTAACCTTTTGATTACAAAGAAGCAATTTATGCTTTACCCAGACCTTCCTCCTGGATGTTTGACTCCTCTTCGTGCAGCAAATGTTGACACAGAGAAGCTGGCCCGCGTTGCTGTTAAGCATGGCTTTCACAAATATTTACGCCATGAAAGAGCTGTTATTGCAAGACGAGTGAGTCATGTTTAAATAATCTAGTTCCTGAACCTTGTGTCATCGACAGTATTCTGTTATTGCTATTAGCTATATAAAATTTTTTTGGTAATTTTTTTTTTGCCACAGAGGAAAGCCAATATCATCGAACATTTTACGTAGTCTTCTTGCTAAATTTATCTTACTGTAAAATCATAAAAGGAACTTGATTTTTGGCCATCTAGCGTTTACCAAGGCATCTGAATGTTTGGTCAAGCATAGGACATTGTCTTTATCTCTCTCTATTTGCTATTGCCATCTAACCTTTGCTTTTTTGAGCTGGCATAGTTATATACAGGCATTTATGCATTTTTGTTCAGCCTTCTTTAACTGTGTCCTGTTTTGTATGTGACAGATCCAATCATTTATAAACGTACTTCCAAAATATCCTCTGCATTCCCATGGTTTGATTGATGCGCCAAAAGTTTTAGCTGATGTAGTTGAGTCCACTGTTGGAGCAGTGTTTATTGATAGCAATGCTTCAATAGATACCACATGGGAGGTATGCCCATCTACCTCATCACTTGTTTTGTTGTACCTTTCCTGAAGTAAATGGAGAATTTTAGACATGCCACCATTATATGAATAGGTGTCATTGACTCTATTTCTGTTTCTTTAAATGTGGAAAGAACTTATTAACTGCTTCTGGAATATTGGCATGCTCTTAACAGATTCAGTTACAATTTTACTGCAATAGACTATTAGGTCTTTTAAAGGTCTTATATTAACATTGTAATCACGTTAAAAGCTCTACTGGTTCGCCACTGTTTAAGTTAAAGTGGCAATGATTGTAAGCTTCTGCAAACCAAGGTTAAAATGGGAAAGAACATGCTGTTGGAATGAAGCCCTGAATATTGGTGTTATTTCCTGTTTTCCTGCAATATGATAGGTAAAGAAAGGCAAATTTTTTATCATAGGATGCAAGATCAAGTTGTAGGAAGTGGATTGACATGGACGCAGATTCATAATATTTGTTACCTTTCTGGAGTTAATTAATGCCGTTTCAAATTGATAAGCACACTATTTTATGCATGGAAATCAGGCTAGAGTCCAGTTTGTCGATAAGGACACTATTTTGAAGGTCTACTTTAAGGCCAGAGTTGACATTACTATTGTTATGGAACTAGCTGTTACGCATGCATAGATGCATACATGCTGCTTTTGACCTTCACATCTCATTAATCCTTCTTGTTGTTGGTTCTTTTATATAGGTTACGAGCAGTTTACTTGAGCCGTTTATTACTCCAGACATGCTCCAGATGAACCCTGTGAAGAAGCTATTTGAGATATGTCAGAAGCACAGGCTTGATGTTAGATTTGTGGATCATTGGGCGAAAGAAGGCACGTATGAGGTTTTTGTTGAAGATCATCTTCGAGGAAGAGGTCAATGCCATAGTAAGAAGGAAGTTGCGTTAAACAGAGCAGCAAATGTAGCATATAATGAAGTAGTCAAACTCTTGGAGTCGAAGGAAAGTTGCTAGGACTGTCGAAAATGTCGGGGGTAATTTTATGGCCAACCCGCCAACTTCTGGAGGAAAGTAGTCTAAACTTTATGTGTATCCATTGTATTTACCCGTCAATTTCAAATTCCAGAGATGAATATTGCCAAACTCGTGTCCGAAGCATCATAAGTCAAGGAACACGAAATTCTGAATCGCTTCGGCAGCAAGTTCATAGCTAAGACAAATCTTAGATGAGTGTTCTTCTTTTGAGGCTACAAAGAGTTGGCCAATCGAGTTGGCCAATCATTTGATACTGTTCGACAAACTAGCCATTTGATCTTTGTTGGAATTTCGATGGACCAAAATTTTCTCACCATTATTCTGTAATCTGAGCTCTTTGATCCTCAAGTACGTCATGTGATATGCATATTTAACCATGAAAACTTTTCCCGTGAGAAGTTCCTCTCTTATTGAGCATAACAGGAGCGAGGGGATTGTAATCTTCCAACTCTTTCAGTCATTGTACTCGACAGAGGAACTACATAATTTGGGATTGTAATCTTCTAACTTTTTTTTTTTCTTTAGTAATCAATCTTCTAACTTCTTCAGTCAATGTACTCAATACAGAAAAACTATATAATCCACAACTTAACTCGTCTCCCTTCAACTTTTTTCTTAAAATGCCTTCCTAATCTTTAATCATTAACTCCTTAATTTGTTCCTAGCCTCTCCTCAGGTAATTGTCAGCTGAAGCCTCGTCAATAAATCTCAATGGCAAAAATACCCAATATGCATCCCGAAACCTCCTTACATATGATGGACAACATTTATTTCATATAATGAAAATTAACTTTCTTACCACAGAAACTCTTTCACTGTCCCTTTCATAATAAACTTTATATGAGTACAGTATATAATTATAAAACTGCAGATATTATATAAAAGTGAGAATATTCGTAATGCTCAAGGGCAAATTTACTTGCAAGTTTTGGTTGGACATTTATTATAGTTGAGAATCTTTGTGATGAAACTTTTTGGCATTATTATAGAAGAATAGTTTATCTTTTATAACTGGGAAAAAAGGATTCAGACTTGAGATTCTCATATATTTCTGTAACTTATCATGTTAATAAAGTTGTAATGCTGTGGTTAACTGTGGATATACTTCTTCAACTACTTATGGAAGCCTCTGCTTGGATGTCAAACATCATCCAAAAGAAAAAAAACAAAAAGAAAACATTTGAAGGAATTTTTTCTAAAAAAACAAAAAAAACATTTGAAGCCTCTGCTTGAAGGAATTTCGAAATAGTTGTCATATTTATCTAAAAGCATGACATAACAAAAACATGAGAATCATTTTGGCATAGAATGAAATAATTATTTGTAATTGGTAAATACTGAATTGGAGATTTGTCAAAGGAGTACTGATAATAAATACAAATAAAACTTGAAAGAATTATGTGATTAAAATTCAACTTACGCACTTAACTTGAAACAGATAACTCCGCCTCTTGTAAACTCTCAGGTTCATTAGTTCCTTAGAGTTTATAATTGACTGTCCCAAGCCAGTGTAAATGAGGAGGGTTACATTAAGTTGGCAGTCAGTGTGGCGCGCCGCAGAGTGCGACCGTGTCGTCTTGGTAAGGACCGCTACATCTCCATGGGCACTTGGGTGTAGTAAAAAATGTGCAAGAAGCCCTGTACGCCAAGAATGAATTACAAGTCCAATCTTTCATATTTTGGCAAGGACCACTACAATCCCATGAGGGCGTGAGAGTAGTGGGAACTACGAGAAAGACCCATCATAGGAGTTGGAATATAGGGATCCTAATAAGTAAGTCCTAAGAAATAGTAGAAATTATGAGAGAAAGACGGGTAAAATAATGTGTATGCAAGAAACAAAATGGGTAGGGGAAAAGGCCAAGGTTCTAAATAGCACGGGGTACGAACTTTGGTATAGCGAGAAAGACAGAAATAGGAATGGTGTAGGAATCATAGTCGATTCATTATTTATAGATCACGTAGTAGGGGTTGTTAGAAAAGGAGATAGGATCATAACATTAAAAATTATAATAGGGAATTAATCCATCAACATAATTAGTTTATATGCGCCTCAAGTAGGAATAGATGACTCTACTAAAACTAAATTTTGGGAGGATTTGGAGTCTTTGATCCAATCAATCCCTCAAAATGAAAAAAATTTTATAGGCGGGGATTTAAATAGGCATGTAGAGAAAGGCAACGGTGATTATGAGAGGGCGCATAAGGGCTATGGCTATGGGATACAAAATAATGAGGGCAAAACTATATTAGATCTTTCGGTGGCATATGATTTTGTCATATGTAATACCTTCTTTAAGAAAAGAGATAAACACTTAATCACATTTAAAAGTGATTCTAATAAAACACAAATTGATTATTTCCTAACAAAGAAAAGTGTAAAAATATTTGTAAAAATTGTAAGGTAATACCGAGTGAATGCATCACTATACAACATAGGCTATTAGTCTTGAATCTAAGAATTAAGACTAATGTATGTAAAAAAAAAAAAATACCAAAGATACCTAGGATAAAATGTTAGAATCTTTATAACAAAGATAAAAAAAAAAGATAGGTTTACTAAAGGTTTACTAGAAAATGTCAATTGGAACATGAAAAAATAGGTCAATAAAACATGGGAAAAAGTAACTAAACACATTAGAAATCTTGCTAAAAAGGAACTAGGGATGTCAAAAGGTAATAAATGTAATAAAGAATCGTGGTGGTAGAATCAAGATATTCAAGAAAAAGTAAAAGAGAAAAAGGCTTGTTACAAAGCCTTTTTACACTTGTAAGAGTAATGAGAACTTGGAAAAATAAAAAAAAAATACTAAAATATAAGTGAAAAAAGTAGTAAGTGAGGGCAAGATAAAAGTTTTTGAAAATGTTTATAAAAAATTGGATACTAAGGGAGAAAAAAAAAATTTTAAAAAAAATTGCAAAACTAAGGGAAAAAAAGACAAGAGACTTAATCGAAATTAAATACATAAAAGATGAAAATGGACATGTTTTAGTTGAGGACACGATAATAAAGATAGATAGAAAGAGTATTTCATAAGTTATTTGAGGAAGTAGATAATAGGGAAATCACATTAGGGGAACTAGAGCAAAGTGAGAATCATAAAAACTTCACATACTATAGAAAAATCCAGCCTAAAGAAGTTGAAAAAGCTATGCAAAAAATGAAAAATAGTAAAGCCATAGGCCTCGATGATATCCCAATAGAGGCGTAGAGATGCCTAGGTAAATTTGGGATTGAATGGCTAACAAAGTTATTTAACATAATCATGAAGAGTAAGAAGATAACCTAACTAATGGAGGAAGAGTACACTAATACATTTGTTTAAAAATAAGGGAGATATACAAAATTGTGCGAACTATAGGGAATAAAGCTAATGCGTCACACAATGAAATTGTGGAAAAGAGTGATAGAAACTAGGTTAAGACTAGAAACTAACATAGGGAAAATCAATTTGGTTTTATGCTGGAAAGATCAACAATAGAAGCCATACACTTAATAAGAAGATTATGTGAACACTTTAATGAGAGAAAACAAGATTTGTATATGGTCTTTATTGACCTTGAAAAAACATATGATAGGGTTAACAGAGATATAATGTGGAGAGTGCTAGAAAAAAGGGGAGTGAGAGTGGGATATATAGAAACTATAAAAACATATGCATAATAATGCAATAACATGTGTGAGTACTTCGGTAGGGATTTTGGGTGATTCCCAATCACGGTTGGTTTGCATCAAAGGTCGGCATTAAGTCGATACCTTTTTGCTTTAGTAATTGATGAAATTACTAAGCATTTGCAAATAGTTATCCCCGGTTGTATGTTGTTTGCAGATGACATAGTTTTAATAGATGAAACAAGGAAAAGGGTAAATGCCAAGTTAGAGACTTGGAGGGAGGCGCTAGAATATAAAGATTTTATAATAAGTAGGGCTAAAATGGAATATATCGAATGTCATTTTAGTAATCGAATGAGTAATAACATGGTAAATATTAAAATTGGTAAACATGTAGTGAACACATCTAAAAGTTTTAAATACCTATGATCCATCATAGAGGAAAATGGAGGCATTGATAGAGAAGTAACACACCGAATTCAAAAGCGGGTGGAACAAATGGAGAAGTGCGTCCTCAATACTTTGTGATCGTAAAGTACCATTGAGTTTGAAATGCATGTTCTATCGAACGGCCATTCGGCCAGCGATGCTTTGCGGATTCGAGTGTTGGACTACCAAATATGAAAATGAACAAAAGATGCGGGTAGCAGAAATGAGAATGCTAAAATAGATGTGTCGGCACACTAGGTTAAATAGGATTAGAATTGAATAGATTAGAAATAAGGTAGGGGTAGCCCCGATAGATGAGAAAATGAGAGAAACTCGCTTAATGTAGTTTGGGCATGTGCGTAGGAGACCGATGGAGGCCCCAGTTAGGAGGGTAGAGAGTATAAAATCAAGGACTCAGATAAAAAGGGGTAGGGGTAGACCGAAGAAAATTTGGAAAGAAACTATAAAAAAATGATTTGAAATATTTAAATTTGAGACATGATTTATGTAATGATCGAGCACGATGACGACATATAATCCATATAGCCGACCCCATCTAGTGGGAAAAAACTTGTTGTTGTTGTGCTTAACTTTAAACAGATAAATTGGCTGAATAACCTAAGGTAAAATGTAAATATGAGTATGAACATGTGATTTAATTTTATTGTATACACCCTTGCTTTTGTGAAAGTCCCAATAAAGGTTTTAGGGAAGGAAGGCATCATATTTTCCCAAAGTCGTTTGATTAATAATACTTCTGATTGCTGGCTATTTGCTGAGTTGATAGGTCACAATTAAGTCACAACATAAGTCAGAAAATTTCACACTTGCCTCTTCCAATCTCTCAAACAATAATCTTCATCAATGGGGTGTTAATTAACTTGGTCTTTCGAATATCAGTTGTCTCTATAAAATGAATGTAAACATACTCTTGCGCAAGGATACCAAGTTGAGAAATGGTCCAAAGTTTTACAATAAAATAGTGCTTTGAAACTGTCATTACGAGGAAGGGAGTATTTCTGAGATTCGATTTTTGATACCATAAAATGTCCACTTACGGTTCAAAATTGAAGTAATTAGGCTTATTCTTTCTCCAAAAATAAATTAATAATAATAAAATAAAACAACAATAACAACTTGAAGTTTAGTAATGTTAGAAGAATGAGTTGACTTGATCCTTTGCGATAATTAATTGATTATAGGATCGCGAACAAAGCATTACAACTGATTGAACACCTCACCTTTCATCTCTTCAAAGCGATACATTTAATTAATCAATCCAAAAACAAATCCAACAAGTCTTACAATTTGTGCCCTATCCGTTTCAAAATGTTTATCACATTTAATTTTTCATTTTTAGTACAATCATTTCGACACGGAAGAAGTAATAACTAATCTAACACGGGAGGCGTCGGATTGGGGCTCGTGAAATCATTGAAAATTTGGGTACAAGCTTTATATGCTGCCCTATTCAAAGCCGTAGTCCTCTTGGATCTATAGGCACCAGTTCCAACGTATTTGTTGTTCACGTAAACTTTGACCTCTCCTGTTTTCTCCCACAAATTCTCGTACTCCAACTGCAAATTGTTCTTCTGGCAATATTCATTCAGTTGCGTCTTAGGATGTGGTCTTAAGGTTGTGTTATCCACCATTGGTTCCAACAATTTCTTCACTACCTGTACGACGTACGACATCATTATTTAATTTATTCGGTTTCGAAAAATTTCACATTGTTAGTGTGAAAAATGAAAAATATTTCACTCATTATTAAGTTTTAAAATTGGAATACCATTAAGAGGGCTCGAAAGAAATATACCAAACCTGCCAAGTGGTCTCCAAAGAGGAATTGCAGTCGAGAAAGATCGCACCAATTAAGGATTCGACGATGTCAGCCAAAACTTTTGGAGAATCAACTAAGCCAGCTGAGTGCAATGGATACTCCTCTATTGCTTTCGAGAATTCTCCAATCTGTTCACAATAAATCACGTATAATTATAATGTTAATTACTAATTAATTAATGGTCTAGAAATGTACTAACTTTTATTATCATCAGTATTTGACAAGGCATTCATATATTCCAAACTAAAGCAATTCTCAATGAGTAATTTTATAATTCTAATACAACTCATAATCACTTGACTTCTAATTAAGGAGTGTAGAGAATAAAATAACAATTTAAAAAAAAATTCAACTTCTTAAATACAAATGAAAAGAACTTGATTTTTCCACACTCCACCGGTCCTTTTCTAGAGAGAAGAGTATTACATTATATTTATAACACTTGATACAACCAAGTTGTACGCGCAATTAAATGCAAAACATATTAAATGTCAAGTACACTTGATATATATATATATATATGCCTTATTAAATTGACGTGGTACAAAAGCTACATTTCGTATCTTCAACGATTGAAACAACCGATCTTGGCAAAGTTATGTAGCAATTTGTTGAAGGATAGATCTTAGATGAAGCATATTGGACAACATGATATAAATAAAAGTTATAAATGGGAAGAAAACCGTAAAAAGAGCTGACGTCATAATAACTATCCTAGTAGACAATAAAAGATTGGGAATTAAAATTGAAAATCAAAATAGGAAGATGTAATAGGAGTAGTGAAACAGTTAGAAAGTGATTTTTTCTTTTTATTATTATTTTGAAAAGCCTTTGAAAAGATGTAATTGGGAAAAAGTAGGGGTTGACTTCGTCGTTGACTTTAGGTTTACACTGTAAATTTCAAGAATTTACATAGTAATACAAGAACAAATGACAAATGAAAGGGGAAAACAATGATCACTATCAGCAAAGTAATTAAAAAAACAAGAACTTAATCAATTAAAAAAACCCCAAAGAAAAAAGGAAAAAAACAAAAAAAAAGTGTTATTGTATTTTTACCTGGTCGTTTAGGAGAGGTTTCCTATGTCGTAAAAACTTATGAAGATTCCACTTCATGGCAGCGCGGGCAAGCTTCTCAGTCCCGACGTTGGCTGCCCGGAGCAAAGTCAATTTCCCCGGGAGAAATTCCGGGTTGGCCACGTAATGCTCCCGGGCAATCAGCAGGTTCAGAACCGAGTCTCCGATGTATTCTAGCCTCTCGAACGACTCAGTTTCGAACCCCTCTTTCTTGTACGACGAATCGGTGAAGGCGGTCTGTAATAATCCCGGGTCGTTAAATTTGTACCCGATTAACTCCTCTATTTCTTCCCTCTCTGCATCAGTCATCCCATATTCTTCTTCTTGTTCTTCTTCCGCTTCAGTTGATGATGATATTATATGAACAAGAGGATTTTCTGGGTTTTCTTGAAATTCCATTGATTTCTTTTTTTTCTTTGTTCGATTTTCAAATTAGAAAGTTTTAGAAGAACCCATATGGAGGTTCAATTTATATAGTTGTTGAAAGAAAAATTGTCGATTTCGTGTTGTAATAGGAAAAATAAATTTATTATGGTGTCACTGTGTGTGTGTGTGTGTGTGTGTTTTTTTTTTCCTTAATTTGATTTGTCGAAAAAGGGAACTAGAGAAACTTGGATCCGATGGGCTTTTAATTGGTTGACTACTTAAAAAGGGAAATGTGACGCAGATGGTTGGTAGGTGAGTTGAACGCATACGAATATAGGAATTATTCTTAGCGTTTGACTATGTGAAATTCGTAGTACAGTACTTGTGTGTATACAGTTGCACCTCTTGAACAATAAACGTTGCACGAGTTCTTCTATGTAATTTGCATCTATCTATAGGGGATGGTTTCGATTAAAAAAATTAAAAAAAAAAACCCTATAGGGGATGGGACGTGACAAGATTTTCGAATTGTAACTCGTTATTAGAAGACTTCTGACACTTGATAAATTGTCCTGTAAAAAAAAAAATTATCCATGATTTTTTTTGTAAGGGCCAATAACTTTTAAGGTTCCAGTATACATTTCGGATTTAGAAGAGAAAGTTTATAAAATTATTATTCCTTTTATACCAAAAAAGTTCATATTGACTTTTTAAATTTGTTCTTAAAACCGTATAAATTTCAAACTCAAAGTTGACTAATTTTTTTTTAGATATAAAGTTTCAAATCTTATCACAAAGTAAATAATTATAATTTGACTACACTTATTACCAATAATTATATATTTGACCAATCTACGTATTTTTCTACACAATATTCTAATTCCCCCCCATCAGTTACATCAGGTTTCGTCTCTGTGTAAAATACCTTCACATTGTCCTCATTATTCCCCATATTTTCTTATAAGGGGAGGTAAGAAATATCCTTATTTATTTTTTGTGTGAGAATAGAAAGATCATATCCACAAGATTTATCTTGGTTCAATCGCGCGATTTCAACCGTAGATGTAATAATCCCGATTTCCAGAAATCATTCTCGTGACTAATTTAAAAACCAAACATGTAATAAGACGTTTTTTTTTTTTCCTTCCTTTTCCTCTTCTTAAATAAAAAAAGTTACAATGGTTTCTTCCGTAGAAGAATGATTCTCATACAAAGTAGTACAACCCAAAAGATCAATTCATTAATGCTTATTTACCCAAGTAGATTAATGACCCTTTGGAAAAGTAAAGAAAAATAAATAAATACGAATTAGAATTGAACACGTTAGAGTACTACTAAAATAAACCTTGGGGACAAAGTTTTAAGCTTTACACGTTGGCATATTTATGGACTTCTTTCCTTGGGGAGCAATCCACAAAGCTGTCAATTCAGTATTGAGAATCACGATTTGGGGAGCGGGTTTGGGGACTTGGGGTTAATTATGAATTACTAAGACAGAATGGTCGTGCTAGGTAGGAAAGAAATTTGTGATAAGAAAAGGATAAAGATTAATAAGCAACATTTCAAGTTTTAGAGAGATACAAAGTTTTTTAGAGAAGGCTGTATAGTTAAAGTTTTTCATGTAATAATGATTTCGATTCTTGCATGTTAATTTAGGATCGTAGTTTTAGTTTCGATAAAGTAGAAGTAATAGTTGTTTTTTTGAAAGTATTTGAATCTTAAAATATCGATTGTAGACATGTGAAAGTTTGATAACATTGTCATAGAATTAGAGCAAAACAATTACAATATAAAATTGAGAATGTCAAATTTGTAGTACTGTATAAATATACATTTGCACAAGTTATTGTATGTACTTGTGTATATATCTATAGGGGATAGGGGATGACAAGATTTTTAACCTATAAGTCATTTACTAGTAGACGATTTCCAGTACTCTGTGACAAGAAAAATATTATCGATGTTTTATTACGAGTTTGTAACACCGATAATTTTGGAGTTTGTTCCATTAGAAAGTTTGGAATTATCATTCGCGTAAAAAATGTAGAGAAACTTTTTAAAGTTGTATAAAGTACTAACTTTTTTTTTCATAGACTAATTACTTGCTAAATTTAGATCATGATGGAAAGATTGTGTGAATTAGTTAAACTACTGAATTGTAATGAGTAACTTCGAGATAAACTTTCAAATTTATCACCGGTAAGAAAAAGAAAAAATGACATAAACCCTTCTGAGTTATGTCCCAAAAACTTATACCAGTTCTATATTTATTATAAGAACAATTACCCCTTACCAGTCGGTCAATGATAAAAGAGGCCCTAACAGCAGAGTTAAACAAAAAAAATATGTGTAAATACAGAAATATTATTTTCAGCTAAAAATAAATTTTTATGCACATTTTATCTTTTTTTTTCCAATGATATATTTTCCTTAACAAATTGTTGAATACATTTAGAAATAACGATATTTACGTATTTTTGTTAATTTTTTTTAAAAAATATAACTTCCACAAAAAAAAAGAATTATTTAGGGTTGAATTTTGTTTGAAAAATGATTTATTATCTAGAAAAAATAGCATAATTTCAACATTATGTATGTTTTAAATTTTTCTGTTGTTATTGAAATAAAAATATGAATATGGTAAAATTCTATCTTTTTTAAAAAAAAAAGCAAAGATAAATTGATTTTTACTTAAATTATTTTTTAAGAAAGTAGTTTTAGCTTAAATTATTTTCTTACAAAATTATTTTTTAAGAAAAAAGTGGTAAATGTCTTATCCCTAAAAAGAAAATTTTGGGGATTTGTTAATTAAACAAAAGAGCTCTTTGAAGAAAGGATAGAATTTTATGCACAAAGATATTTTTAGCTAAAAGGGATATTTTTGTCTTTTACACACTTTTTTTTTAATCAATTCTTCCATTAGGGGCCATTTTTGCCGTTGACCTCAGTGGAGTAATTGTCCTCATAAGAAATGTCACTATGATATTAATTTTTTGGAACATAGCTCGGGAGTTTTTGTCATTTTCCCTTAAAGAAAAAATAGAATAGTTACCATTTGGTTACATTTATTACCATTAATATAATTTATTTGATCATTCTACATGTTTTTGCACAATACTGATTTCCTCTATATATATGAGTCACCTCCCTTACCTCTCCATAAATCCTAAAACATTGTCTAGCACTACAACAAAAAGGGGTTGATAGGACAATTTTTTGTGTCCTTAAAAACTACATAATAGGACATTTCATCAATAAGACACATAGAAATAGTGTCATCTATTCTCCGGTCGCAATAAGTCCATAAAACTATTAAAGGTGTCCTATTAAACTAATCCTGATGATACACTTCATATATGTTCTATTAAGTTGTTGGAAGCTTAAGAAAATAGGACACTTTAAAGTGACCTTATTAGTGATACTACTAGTAAAACTCTTTAAAGTGTCCTAATAAGTATTGAATAAAAAAAAAAAATTATTATTATAATAGTAGCCTTACTACATGCAATAAAAGTAAAAAGCACAAATTGCATTGCCACAGAGCCAGAAATTTCCATAGACACTGAAATATTCGATCACATAACGAAAGTATAGCACATGACCGTTTTTGTTGAACATTATGCCATCCTACCTAACCGTTGATACCAAATAACTAAAGTAGTATCCAACCACAAAAATGGGGAACACCTTGACTAATCCTTCCAACTTTGTTCTCATCTTCCTCAACCAGTTCGCAAGCAGCGCACTACTCTGTAATCTGACCCTTATTAAATGCAATATTGTGTTCCCAAGGATTTCCATGGTATCTTTGAAAGCGTTTCTGAAGTCGCAGCAAATGAGTAAGGGTTCCTGCACGTTATTAACATAACACTGTAAGAATAGACATTAGCAAAAGCTTTGAATGCATCGAAGCCCCAGAAGAAGCAACTTCGGACCTTAGTTTACATACCTTAGATAACCAGCAAAAGATACAACAAATATTCACTGACCTTTGACATCATTGTTATAAACACTGGAGCAGCAAGCGTAACTATCTGTGTAAGCTCAGTAACTGATGGAATCGAGATGGAAAACACATTATAACCCTTGTTATTCAGAGCTTCAACCATCATATAAGCAGCTACAACCTAAAGGCGATAGAGAGCAAGAAAAATATGTTAAACCAGGTGCAAGTGAAATAAGATCAGGAGAACAAATATCTTTATGGGAGCACGAGAGCAAGTAAAAAAATGTAGGCCACCATACTTGTGAAACCATTGTTGCCCAAGCCGCCCCAGCAATACCATATCCTAGGAATCTGAATAAAATTATGTCACCAAGACCATTGATAGCACTAGCAACTGCCAGAGCCTTTAAAGGTCCCCATGAGTCTTTCATCCCGAGGCTGTTTAAAAAAGGAGAGGACAAGTCACCATTAAAAAATTGAACTGAGAGTAGAATAAAAGTTAGGAAGTTAGTCGGAAACCAACCGGTCTTCCTTTTCCATTACTATATCAGGCGTGAAACCAAAACAAAAAGAAAAGAAATTGGAAATTGGAAACAAATGAGAATTCAATTGAACCCTCAATCTCGAATGATTTAAGATATCACATAACTTCGCACACAGATGTAAGGCACCAATTATAAATCCACGTTGCTAGAACATAACTCATGAAGGAAAAGGTGACTAGAGAGAGTAGAAAAGAAAGATAATCTTGTCAAATTTTCACACTAGTCTTGCAGTAACTCGATTTTAGTCCATGACGGAGGTAGTTCTAAATCTAAACAACAATATATAGTCACAGGGTAGCACAGACCTCAACTAGATTTTAAAGCAGGGAATACTAGAGGCTTGTGGTCCAGCATTTTTTAACAATAGATGTCTAACTATTTATGATACTGAGCCATAATTATGTTCCCTTCATTTGACTTCCTTAAAATCTATCTAAGCCACTGGAGTTATATTTAAAAAAGCCCACGAATAGAATGATCTTAAAATTCAATGGCACAACTACTTCAAGAACTTTCAGAGACCAGAAGATACACTTTCCAGAACATCGGAACAAAATTTTACAGTTAAATGACAAACATGCAGCAACTCAAAAAGTAGTGCTAATAGTCGCATAGACATGTAGCAACAAGCTAGAGCTCAACTTAGATTCCATCTAACCTGGACATATGTGTTTGCAGCAGTTATAATTTCAGTATTACTTGCCCCAGTAAAAGCTGAAAAAGACCCCATAAGCAATCATTCACCGGCAAATTCTCCGCACGATCACGCATAGACATGTAGCAACAAGCTAGAGCTCAACTTAGATTCAATCTAACCTGGACATATGTGTTTGCAGCAGTTATAATTTCAGTATTACTTGCCCCAGTAAAAGCTGAAAAAGACCACATAAGCAATCATTCACCGGCAAATCCTCCGCACGATCATATGCACCAATCATGTTTACACCTCAAGAAATCACAGAACAAAAATAGAAGGCCGTTACCTCTTATTGCCCATTGGCCAAATAATCCGGTAAAACAAGAGCATGAACACACCACAAGCAACTTTGGACCTTAGTTTATAACAATTGTGATGCCTGCACCCGCCAATGCTGAACTGACATCTGCCATCATGCCTGATCGTACAAGATAGAGTTATTGTTAATCTCATGTGTCTGCCAATTTAAGAATGAACAACAGAGAGGCAGTAATGAATTTCAAACCCAAAAAACCCTATCACTACATGCCTTCTGAAGAGCATAACAATACCTATGTACTTCCGGCAGCTCCCTATGTTCAATTATACACTGAAATATAGAACACTTACCATTAACACCATATATCAAAGAAATAAAAACAGCAATATCGGACACCATATTTTCCTAAACAAACTTGGAAAGATTAGACATGTTTGACAAGTTCGCGAGCAATTCAAATTCAGGAAATATTCTATCCTATCACTTACATACAGTATGCCGAAGTAGCTCAAACTTTAAAATACAAAATTATGTGATGTGTGGATTGAACAAACCTGTCTCTGACAAACATCTCCTCTCGCAATATTCCTGAGAGTGCGGAGTGCGGGAATCAGCACTGAAGGCGATGGATGTCTGAAAAGATTACAATTCGTTTTCATATCAGAAATAACCGGAGGACAGAAACACCGAAAGATAATCAAGTGAAACCTACGAAAGTAACTCCACAACTCGTGGACAGACACCGGCCTCAATCACCGCTTGGATTTCCTTTGTTGTACCATCAGGCATCAGAGAGATATGACAGAGCCCATCATGCATATGTTAGCACATCCTTGTCATTAAAATAAATAAGTAGCTGAAGAGCTGGAAGGGCGTGACACACCTGATTAATTGAAGCTCATGATTAGCATTAGAAGGAGATAAACAAGGGGAAAATAATTTGATTTCACAGGGATATTTGTTTAGGGGATTATCAGTTATAATTCAGAATTCTAATTAACAATCTACCATCTTCAAACATCTTCGATCCTGTCTAAACAAGAAGCCAAAACCAGAAACACAAATTGAAAATTCTTCCTCAACAAAAATGAGCAATTGACAAGGAACTCATTCAATTAAACAACCAAAATTTGAAAAACAACAATTCCAAATGACAAATGAGATGTATCAAACGGTTCGAAAATCCTTAACGCGCGAAACAACAAAAACATAGAGGCGAACCATTAATACATGAGTGATAAAAAACAGAGCACATATCAAAATTCAAAAAACCTGTATCTTCTTGCGAGTGAGATGCCAACTACGCTAACACAAGTTCTCCAGCCTTGAGCTCCTTTCCCTGGTATTCCTTGTAGCAACAACTTTGATCCATATCCGATGGAGATCGGTTTCATAAACACCGGTTACAACTTCCTCCACAAAATACTTGGTCGGGTTACAACGTGAAGGCGGAGAATTTTCCCGTTGTTATTGGCGCTGTTGTTCAGAGGATGATTGGGGAAGGCGAACAACTAGCTAAACTTTCTTCTGCTGCCGGTGGTGGTCATCGTCGCCATCACCGCCGTCGTCGTCGACGGATAAGGGAAGGGAATAATTGTAATTGAGATTGGGTTAAGGTTCCGGCGAGGGGATCGACCGGAGGAAGGAGGGATAACGGTTTTCTTGTGTAGGAAAAAAGAATTGGGGTTTTTGTACTCTGTTGATCGTTTCAGTGATGTATTTTTTTTCCTTCTTTTTTTTTTTTTTCCAGTGAGTACTTACGTTTTACCCTATTTAATAAAACTAGTATGCATTTTGAAGAAAAGAAAACATTTTTTCCTTGCATTTAGCAATAATTCACTGTAAAAAAATCTAATTTTGTCTTTTAAATAATTAGTTTTTTATTACTTCCTCCGTTCCATTTTAAGTGTCGTTTTAGAAAAAAAGAATCTTCCAAAATAAGTGTCGTTCTCAGTTATCAATAAACATTTAGTCAGATTCTTCCCAAATTACCCTTCCATTGAATAGATCAACAGAAGTAAATAGACTCCCTCTTTCCGATGAGTCGATGAACGCTGGCTGAGTTAATTCTTTGTCGGGTGGATTACAAGGATATTTTTTTCTCTAATCTCTAATAGAATTCTCCAACTTAAACAAATTGAGAGGAAAGAAGATCAAGAGCAAGAGGAAGATTGATGGATTCCATGAAAAAGAAGAAGAAAAACCCAAATTTTGACTTGAATTTACCGGCAGATTTGGACTTCGATTTGAACGAGAAACCGGATGAAGATGAAGAAGGAGAAGAAGGAGAAGACGGAGAAGTAGATGATGGAGCCAGAGTTGAAAAAGTTGAGAGGCAACTATCAAAAAATTTGCTTAGACCAACAATTGATTTGAACACATCTCCAGAGGAAGACAAAGAAGCACTCAATTTTAATGAAATAGGGATTCAAGGAGTGATTGAAATGCTGAGAATTTATGTTCCTTGTTACTTTACTATTAAGCATTATTAGTCTTGCAGAAATGTGGTTGTGTTGTTTATGACGACGGAGTACTTGATCTACTATTTTTGTTTTTTTTATGGGTTCCTAACTTTCTGTTCTGGGGGAGATTGAATATGATTATGTAATTTGATGACGTTTATTGTTGTGATGATTTTTCTCTCAATTTTCCTTTTTCTCTTACTACTTTTTTTTTTTAATGAAAAGGTTGATTGGTTCAAGTTTTGTTGTTCACTCCCGTGTATATGAACGAAGGGATTAATTAGTTACTCCCATTCACCCTGTATGCTTAATCTCCATGATTCTGCTGACTCACATCCATAGTTTTGAAGATATAAACTCTTCAATGCTGGAGGTACAATGCTCGTTATTTGTTGGACTAATAGTCTGATGAGTTTTATCCATTGCTCCTTCATTGCTGATTTATGATTAGTGTGGAATTAGTAGAAGCCATACAACTTAGTTAAGAATCTTTAGGAAGTCATATGGCTTCTACTACTTCCACACTAATCATAAATCAGCAATGAAGGAGCAATAGATAAAACTCATCAGACTATTAGTCCAAAAAATAACGAGCATTGTACCTCCAGCAATGAAGAGTTTATATCTTCAAAACTATGGATGTGAGTCAGCAGAATCATGGAGATTAAGCATACATGGTGAATGGGAGTAACTAATTAATCCCTCCGTTCATATACACGGAGTGAACAACAAAACTTGAACCAATCAACCTTTTCATTAAAAAAAAAAAGTAGTAAGAGAAAAAGGAAAATTGAGAGTAAAATCATCACAACAATAAACGTCATCAAAATTACATAATCATATTCAATCTCCCCCAGAACAGAAAGTCAGGAACCCATAAAAAAAACAAAAATAGTAGATCAAGTACTCCGTCGTCATAAACAACACAACCACATTTCTGCAAGACTAATAATGCTTAATAGTAAAGTAACGAGGAACATAAATTCTCAGCATTTCAATCACTCCTTGAATCCCTATTTCATGAAAATTGAGTGCTTCTTTGTCTTCCTCTGGAGATGTGTTCAAATCAATTGTTGGTCTAAGCAAATTTTTTGATAGTTGCCTCTCAACTTTTTCAACTCTGGCTCCATCTTCTACTTCTCCGTCTTCTCCTTCTTCATCTTCATCCGGTTTTTCGTTTAAATCGAAGCCCAAATCTGCCGGTAAATTCAAGTCAAAATTTGGGTTTTTCTTCTTCTTTTTCATGGAATCCATCAATCTTCCTCTTGCTCTTGATCTTCTTTCCTCTCAATTTGTTTAAGTTGGAGAATTCCATTAGAGATTAGAGAAAAAAATGATTTTGGCTTCTTTGTAATCCACCCGACAAAGAATTAACTCAGCCAGCGTCCGTCGACTCATCGGAAAGAGGGAGTCCATTTACTTATGTTGATCTATTCAATGGAAGGGTAATTTGGGAAGAATCTGACTAAATATTTATTGATAACTGAGAACGACACTTATTTTGGAAGATTTTTCTTTTTCTAAATTGACACTTAAAATGGAACGGAGGGAGTACAATGGTTTCTTTCTTCTATAGAAGAGTAATTCTTTTATTCTTTATGCAATGTACAACCCAAATGGTCACTGTATTAACGATTATTTTCCCTACTAGTAGATTAATGACCGGTTGCAAAAGGAAAGAAAAAAAATTAAAATTAAAATCAAACACACTGAAAACTTTCTTGGAGGCAAAGTTTTAAACTTTGTAAGTGGCATATAAATCCACTTCTTCCTTGGGGAGCAAACCTATACCAATTCGGCATTGAGGATCGCGACAAGATGGGAAGCTAGCTGGGGTTAGGGTTTTGGCAACCTGCTAGGGAAGGAAGAAAGCTTTCTAGAGAACAATCCTAAAAATTTATTGTGATGAAAATTCATATGAAGCCTCCTGGAAGGCTTGAACATTAGTCTAAACTCTAAAGAGTATTGTACATATAAATATACCATTTTGATTCGGAAATAAGTCTAATTTTAAAATTTATTTATTATTCAAATCATATTAAAATTAAAAATCCAAATTGAACAATTATTTTGAGACAGAAGAAATATATATTAAATTTGCTTACTGGTTTTACGTACTAAAGAATGGTATTTTGAAATTAAATCATATATTACGGAATTTTCTGAGACTACTACCCTATTTTAAGCATTGGTGGTCTGGAATATAGTTTGAGATTATAAAAGGATTTGATCTTGAAGGAGTAATCATAGCTAGGAGTCTTAAACCAGAAAAACATGCGATGTTTGTGTGAAGAAAAATGTCTTGATTTTTTTCGGTGAATATGTTTTTATGTGAAGAAAAACATTTAGATGTTAAGAACGTTACTTGTATGGTTTGGAAAATGGCCACTCTATATTTGTAACATGTGTTAATTACATATCGCTATTTATTCATTAATGGATTGTATTTTAGGTAGTTATTAATGACTATAAGTGTTTGTTGTCTTATTGTTTTTGAAATTTGATATTCAACCATCAGTCATTTGTTAGATTTGGTAGTTGAGTTGACTTACATAGATCGGAATCGTAGTAATGTTTTAGAGACGAAATTTAAAATTTTGTGTTTTTATTTATAGAATTGTATATGTTTATCACTTGAAAGTAAGGGTCCATTGAAGCTTCTTCTTTTTGTTCAATTTGTTATGGGACAAAAAAAATGAAAAAAAAAAGCAAAGAAACGTTGTACAACCGTTTTATGTCATTAGTCAATTCCAATATAATGCAAGTCTCTTTACTGGTATTCTAAATAAGCAGTGTCAACATTTTAAATACTTCTTTCGCCAATACCTACCGTCTAACTTAAATTTTTATTCTCTTAATATAAATTGTACTAGATTGAAAGTATGTATAAACAAGACAATTATCCCTTTTACCCTATTAAAGCAGAATGCAGGATGTAGATGTGGCAACTTCTTATTAAAACTTTTTGGCTCCAAATGCACCATATTGTATTGACCATTCTGCCACGTGTCATCCCTTTTTTAAAAGAAAAAAAAAATCTTATCCCGAGAAATAAAGCTACTTTACAAAAATAACTACACAATTTTAACTCCTAACATTTATCATTTATCAATCAAATTAAAATAACATTTAAATTTATCCATAAACTTATCCCCTTTATTACTCCACATTCTTTTGTATGATTTCTACATCGTTGTACTTTTTAATATTTTTTTGCTTTGGCAGATGATTTTTTATTTTTATTTTTATTTTTGACTTAAAAAAGGAAAAAAAAATCAAATGTGTAGCTATTTTATTTTTTTCCAAATCAAGAATTTATTTATCTATTAACACAAATTTAAAGTAGAGGGGCGCCCGGGTATCTGCCTGGGCCAAGCATCTAGTTATATTATTATGGACAGAGAGAGTAAACCACAACAACATGGGAGGAGTATCATTATAGAATTTTTAATATTACATTAATTAAATATATAATTAAAAATGTGAATTAAAGGAAGGATTTTCAATATTGCATTAATTAAATATAAAATTTAAAAATGTGAATGAATGGACAATTATTTTTTCCGGAAGTGTACAAATTACTGCTGTTTCAAATGCACTTGGGCCCTTACTGGTTTCCTTTTGGACAGCATCTGGTCGTTCATTCCAATATGTCATTCGGCCCTCGCGACTTAATAAAAATATCATATAGAGGAGCCAGTCTAAAAAATGAAGCTTAAAACTTTCTCATTATATCTTAGAATGATGTCTTTCGGCCCTTAATTGGATGGTCCAGGTTCATAGTTTGCGCAGTCTCTGGGATTTCTCTTACCACTTACAGTTAGATAGTTGGCATTCTCATTTGGGTGCATTGTAACCAAGCCGTTCGTTCGGCTTCCTCAATATACAAAAAAATAATAACGATACAAAATTTTTCGGTCCAATATAATTCT